ATATATATATAGACATAATTAAAAATTTCATATATTTATAGGGAAAAGTGCTCAGTATCGAAGATAAGGCCTTTATAGATGTAAACATAGAAAACAACACTCCAACACAACTGTCTGTTTCACGCCTGGAGATCGTACTGAGGTATGAAACTGGTTGCAGTTATCATGCAATATTGTTTCCTTTGTCTACAAGATAGATAGATAGATAGATAGATAGATAGATAGATAGATAGATAGATAGATAGATAGATAGATGCACGGTGGAGTAATGAACTGCGACTCGGATTGAGGAATCGGAGATCCCATTTCATTCCAGTCACTTACATACTAATAGCCTTGGGAAAATTAAGAATCCATCTATCCCCCCCCCATCAGCTATAGGTAAAAAAAAAACAAAAAAAAAAAACAGGAGACACTGGTTCCTATAGCCTTACGTGTCAACCGGGCTAGGAGAAGGACAACTCTGAATTTGAAACCTGTTTAGAGACCTTGTAGAATACTGTGCACCAGTTCACTGTATTCAGCTCTTTCAAAAAGTGTGGTTGGTTCTGCACAAGCTTTTATCACCATCATCAAATTATGTGCGGGTGGTTTGGCTGTTGGTTCTACGAACTGAGTTGCTTGACCCTCATGCATCGAAAATAACGGGAGAGTCCAGTATCTATCTATCTATAAATATGTTAAATGGCAGTCTATATTTCGTGCCTGAAGATTGCACGTTTGCATGAAGCTTTCTTAGCCACCAAACAATCCCGGAGAGTCAGCGGGCACAATTGATTGATTGATTGATTTACTACGGAAAAACTGGTTAAAAAAAAGAGAGAAAATGCAAAGACGGTCGGCGGAGGGTTTTTCGTTTAGTAGAATGGGCTAGAGTTAGAGGGGAGAAAACGATGTAGAGAGAGAGAAGAGATTATTTGAAAGAACGGAAGACAGGAAGAGGGAAAAACGAATTAGGGAAAATGCATTATGGCGTCTGTCTAGACTCGGTTGCTTCCATCAATGGCTGGTTGTGGGAAGAGATGAAGAAAGGAGAGAAGCGAAGGAGTAAGTTTAAGAAAGGGGTTAGGGATAGAAAAGATGCTAAGATTAATAAGGGATTGATAAGAGAGGGGGGGAGGAAGTGACTTGTAAGAGGGGCAGGAAAAAGAAGAATGGTAGGGGGAGAAAATAATTGAGAAGTACTACAAATGAAGATTTAAAGTGAGGAGAAAAGAAGAGTTGCAAGAAATGATAAAAAAAATGGCAAGAAATAAATATTAGAAAGCAAGAAAAGAAAGAAAGAGAAGCAAATGAAAGAATGAAAAATATCGAAGGTAAAATCAATGTCAGAAGTCAGGCAAGGTTACAAAAAAAAAGAAAGAAAGAAAGAAAGAAAGAATAAAGGTGATGTTTGGTTAATAAGGAATTTTGAGCATCAAGGAGAAGGAAAAAGTGGATTATGGCTGGTGAGAGGAGATAATGCTGGAAACGGATTAAGTACAATCAAAACAAACAACAAATCTCAATAAAGGGGAAGAGGCCCCACACCATTGAACAATTGTTAATCATGAAGAATATTTACTACGGTAGTGAGTTCAGTCTTTATTCGTTGCTTCACACTTGTAGCGTTGTATGTGCTTTGTAAAAAAAAAGGGACACGGTGGAGTAAAGGATAGCGGCTCGGATTGAGGGATCGGAGAGCCGAGTTCGAATTCCATTCGAATCCATTACATTCACTTGGGGAGGTATGACCTCTTCTTCTTCTCCCAGCTATCGGTAAATAGCAGGACAGACAGGGTTCTATAGCCTTGAACTACTGCAGAAAGAAATGGAAACCTACTACGGGGAAAAATCGTCAGTCATGTATCGAAAGATACATGATCGCCTTAGCGTGTGTCACGTATTGACTGAAAAAGGTCATTTGCTGTGTTGTGCTGGTTAACAAGCTCGCCGTAGTTAGTTCAATTTTCATACAATCTCTTACTCCCCTGGCCTTATGCCAGACTAAGATTGGCTTAGAAAGAAGAGCCATGAAGAAGAAAAAGTGTCGAGGATATGATAAAGTTCTAAAGGAGAGAAAAATATAAAAAAAAAATATGCTTGGGAGGATTGTCGGTGACACTTTTAGCACATTTCTGTTACAAAAAAATAAAGAAAGAAAAAAGCTCCTGCCAGTCCGTGCCAACCATTGAAGCTTTTCTATCCTCCACCTTCCACCGCATGTTCAACAACTCTCCACTTCTGACAGCTCTTCCCGCGCGTAATATCCACCCTTACTCTCCTCGTCTAGCGTTTCTTTCAGTTATTCAACCACATTCACTCCAACCGTAACTCACACTCCTCCGTTTCTACAACCTCATGGCCGCCGCCGCTGCTGCTGCTGCTGCTCTTGTGACCGTTATTAATGATTAGAATAATTGTACGTAAATTCAAGCATGAAACACCCACCAACCCCATAACTAATCGCTCTCTTTTGCATAGAGGACATGCACAGCCTGTCCCACCCCCGAATACTCTCTGACCTAAATTATGACGTCTGGGTGAGACAGCGGCCGGTGGTTGCCTGGTTATTACAATGGCGTGGATTAGTGATAATAGCCACTGGGTTTTCTCCACGTCACTGACCAATAAGGTAAAGATGACCAGACCCTCGTTTAGAATAGGAGGATAATAAGGGGGGGGATAGGAGGGGGTACACTGGAGAGTGACAAAGGGAAATCAAGAAGGCGAAAAGACAGAGCGCGACAAGGGTGTGTAAGTATGAATAAAGAGTGAAGCATCTATGTATCTATCTGTTAATATCTACCTATCAGTCTCAGTCTTAATATCTATCTATCTATCTATCTATCTATCTATATTTTACTGTCTATTTCTGCCTTTTTAATATCTATCAATCCCTGTCTTTTATAACTATCTGTCTGTCTGCATGTCAGTCTTTTAATATCTATCTATCTATCTATCTAAGTCTGTTCATACTATCTATCTATCTATCTATCTTATCTATCTTTTAATATCCATCTGTCTCAGTCTTTTAATATCTATCTATCTATCTATCTATCTATATTTTAGTGTCAATTTCTGTCTTTTTAATATCTGTCAATCCCTGTCTTTTATAACTATCTGTCTGTGCATGTCAGTCTTTTAATATCTATCTATCTATCTATCTATCTATCTTATCTATCTTTTATCCATCTGTCTCAGTCTTTTAATATCTATCTCAGTCTTTCAGTATCTATCTATCTATCTATCTATCTATCTATCTATCTATCTATCTATCTATCCGTCTGTCCTTTACTATCCATCTATCTATCTCAGCCTTTTAATATCTATCTCTACCTAGTTGTATCTATTTAATATCTACATAATATCAACCTTTTAACATCTATCTATTATATATCTTTTAATAACCATCTTTTTCTCTATCTTTCTTTTATGTGTCTATTCATATCTATGTCTGTTCAAACTCTGTGTGTGTGTGTGTGTGTGTGTGTGTGTGTGTGTGTGTGTGTGTGTGTGTGTGCGCGTACACGGTCAAATAGGCGGGAAAAAGGGAGCGGCGAAAGAGAGAGGAGAGAAAAAGAGCCTGAAAAACAGGGGGGGAGGAGAAAGAGAAAATGAGGATGGATGAAGAGAGGTTAAGAAGGTTAGGGTTATCAAAAGTCGTAAGTCAAACGGGAAGACGGAATGAAGAGAAAAAAAATCATCAAAAGAAAGCGGGTAAAAAATAATCGAACAATAAACTCGAACGCAATGAATGAAAGAAGGAAAAATGGAATCGAGAGAGGAATTCAAATGTGTAAAAAGAAAATGGAGGCGAAGGAAGGAAGGAAGGAAGGAAAGAAAGAAAGAAAGAAAGAAAGAAAGAAAGAAAGAAAGAAAGAAAGAAAAGATTTTTAAAAAAACAAAAGGAAAGTGAGAAGAAAGAGAAAGAGTGGTAAAAGAGGAAAAGAAATATTAAATTAAAAACAAAATGCTGGTAAAAAAAGTAAAACGTAACTCTAAACTTGAAAAATAGGTCGACAATATTTGCTATTGAGTTCAGTCTGACACAAGGCTAAAATAGTTGAGCACTTATTGAATGACTGGCTCAACATCGTCTCTAAAGAATGGATGATAAAAAAAATTCAAATTGTGTATCACGGACATCGAACTGTGTGGGGAAACTGGTGAGGGGTGGCTGTAGATAAGGTTTGTGTTTTACTAGACAGGAAGTTTGTTGATAGACAAAAACGGTGTCGGGGTTGACCTGTAAATGGTCCGATCAGAAATAGTTTCCGATCTCACTGGTGACGAAATCTCATCTATCTATCTATCTATCTATCTATCTATCTATCTATCTATCTATCTATCTATCTATTTCTTCAGCTTCCAAAATTTCTTTTTTCATTCTGTCACAGGAGAGAAGAGAAATTATTGCCCTTATTGTTATTGTTGATCTTTTACTTTGTTTTTTCTTTTCTTCCTCCTTCCTTTCTTTCTTTCTTTCTTTCTTTCTTTCTTTCTTTCTTCGTTTTGCTTTCATTCCTTTATTGTTTCTTTACTTATAATCATCAGAAGCGCAAATGGACTTATCACATTGATGATATTCATGGGTTCCATTTCAATAATTTCTATAATTAGCAAGCTATAATAATAATAATAATAATAATAATAATAATAATAATAATAATAATTTTTTTTACAAAAATGATCAGTGTAAAATGGCCCTGACCTTAGATCTCTGGTTGGAACCCGGAAGCAAATGTGTATACAACAGGACTAAAAAAAAATGGTAATAATAATAAATAGTCAATGGTGAAAATAAGAGCTTATTAATTTACTGATGTTTCACAAAAAGGTACTACTAAAGTGTACTTTATTCTCGCAAGAGAAAAAGTTAAATTATAGCAATTACTACACTAATTAGCATAATTCATAGTTGTTGATTTTATTTAATACAATGATTACGGGTTAATCTTTTATTTTTATTTCACGATAAATATTAAGAATGGCTTCAAAAATTTTATGCGTATTTTTCATTAATATTTCCATAATTCTTAAGAAAAGTGTCTTAATGCTCAGTAATGCAAATATATATATATATATATATATATATATATTACTACTACTACTAATATTAATAATAATTCATAAATGTATGTTTGTTCCTCTTCATTTGATCCAACTCTGAGTTTCATGCACGTGACAATCGTCAGGATGACAATTGTAAAATTTTAATATTCATATTTTATAACCTGCTCTTAAAATAGTGGAGCAATCCATATTTACTCGTGAAAAAATAAATAAAATAAATGGATTAAATGTAAAAAGCAAATAAATTATTAAAACACACTTATATATACTCAATTACAAATATATATATATATATATATATATATATATATATATATATATATATATATATATATATATATATACCCCCTACACAACAAATATAAACATACGTACATACACAACAAAATATATAAAAAATGCTTATATATTTAAATAAGTTTATAATATATCCCATAATATATTTTTAATACTATTTATACACATCTGATGTATATTTCCAATATATTACACATATACACAGAAATATAATTAACATATAGAACTATAAAGGTATATGCATCCACACTTACATGCATACATATACACATGCATACAAATATAAGATATAGTAAATTACATATTTCTACTATATTCACATAGCACATGTATACACATATACTTACAAACACCCATTCATATATTTTATATCTATTCATAATATATATATATATAATATATATTTAAGCAAAAAGATTTTTAACAGATATATTTTATTTATTTCTGAATATTTACGTACACATACGCGCGCGTGCACACACACACAAACACACATATATATATATTTCAAATGTAATGGATTCTTTATCAATTCAACAGATTTTTATCATTCTAAATGTTATTTTTAGTGGTTACTCATATTTAAGTAGACGCTGCATTTATCAAACAGTATATTTACTTAATTCCGTCTACCAGCCTGAATATTCGAGAAATCTTATTAAAGAAAATTATTCTCTTTCCAGCAGGATACGGACCTGCGTCCCTCAGAGGGAAACCGTCTTTAGGATCCGTTGTGTTTTTAACCGTCTAGATCACGGTATCCACTAAATATCACATTTCAAAAACTGTAAAATATATATATATATATATATATATATATATATATATATATATATATATATATATATGACCAGAAGATCGCGTTTAAGCAAAAAACAGAATGTCGCCGTTGATGTTGACTTCAGTGTCCACTTTTATATTTACATATACTGTATCCTTAATATGGAGCAATTTAATCCATAAATATAGCATATCTTATCAATATATATATATATATATATATATATATATGGAGAAAGAAAGAAAGAAAGAAAAAAAAAAAAAAAAAAGAAAGAAAGAAAGAATGTGAGAAAATATAAATCTCTAAAACTGAAAATATCGTTTCCTGCCCTTTGGGTCTGTAGTTCTGATTGTTTTTTTTTTTGTTTTGTTTTGTTTTTTTTTTTTTCAATTAAGCAAATCTGTTCCATAGAAGTCGACATGTTTTGTTTAATATGGATTAATATTTACTACTGAAGAATGCACTCAGATGAACCTTACCTGCTCGTCATGTGACCAGAAACTTTAGCTGCTTTGAAGGACGAATACTTTCATGCGAATCCTATGATTATTAATTATTACTTGCAGCAAGTGGTTATAGCTCGCTAATAAGAGACAGAAGTTGTTTATTATTATTATTGTTGTTGTTGCTGTTGTTGCTGTTTTGCATTTTTATTTAATTAAATTAATTGATGGCTTTAATACATTGATTAATTTATGTTTTAATTCAAAAAGTCTGATTAATTTTCTTATGGAATTGGTTTCAGCAGATTTGTAAATTTTTATATGAAAATGTCTAATAAGATTTTCTGGTTTGGCTTATTTTAAAGTATCTTTCCATTTGAAAATCGTTTTTAAGAACTGCGTTTTTATAAGACGTTTTTTAGTTTTTCCAAAAAAATATAACCAAATAAAAAAAAAAATTAAAAACTAAAGGAAGGAAAATAAAAAAATGTCGAAAAATTTTTATCTCAAGTGAATTTAAGAATAACATTTATATTCTATTATTTTCGTAGCCTTAACTTAGTTTTTGAAACCGTAGAAAACAAATAAAATGAAATTGGCATGAGGACAAAAATATCTGTTGAAACGATTTCAATTTCGCCATGTGATCATCTTTACATCAGACATTCTGTGCGCAAACAACTGTAAAAACTCCCGCCAATTTCAAAACTGTTTACAAAAATTGTTTCATACTAGTTTCTATTTGACTTCAAATTCTCACTGAATGTACATAAATATATATATATATATATATATATATAAAATAAATCGTGTTTTGTAATTTGTCACACTTTTTGTTTTTGAAATAATTGATGACTATTTTTTAAATTTTGTTTTTCTTCTTCTGATTAAGATCAATTTAATGGAAAATACAGCTAAAGTTTTCAAATCGATACTTGAAAACCAAGAAAAAATTAATAAAATAATCTAAAATATTTGCGTAAAAAATCTAAAATGTATCTCTAAGGTAAAAGGTAAGTAAAAAATAGTTATAGTTAGTATATCATGGGGACTATTTCTGGACAGTCACCCCGTGACTAACATAGCATTTCCCCTGGAAAATTGATTTACTAATCGACATTGATTGTCATTTTGTCACAATTTTATGATATATATTAACGCCAGTAAATTTTGTTTATAAAAAGAAGGGAATTAAAAATAAGAAGGATAAAGGGTCCCGAAATGGTTGACCAAATGGAAAATAATTCTAATACAAAAAAAAAAAAAAAAAAAAATGAATAGAAAACAACTACAAGCCCATAACCTGCCTACTGATGAAATGGAAAATTTTCACCGGACAAATATAATGGAAATAATACAGTTTATAAGAAAACTATGGTTTAAAGAGCTGAAAGGGTGCAAAAAATAAAACAAATAAGCAAATATTTGATTTTATATGGACCTAGGAAATAATGAATTTGATGGTAATAAAAAACACAATGTATTTTATTAATTATAAAAAGAGATTTATTTGGGAAGGATGTTAGAATAATCTACAACTTAGACTAGGAGCAAACCGCCTGCATGCGGATGGAAAATGAATTCAGTAAATATATAAAAATAGAAAGGGACGTAGAACGGGAATGTGTCGTATTCAACCTTGTGAGGATTCTAAGAGGATGAGAAATGGTACAAGGATTCATTATTGGTGGCTACAATCTTAACAGCATTAGACATGCAGATGACACAGTGTTGATAGCAGAGACAGAAATGAAACTACAAGAACTCCTAGAGACGGCAGTAAAGGAGAGCGAGAAGAAAGGACTAAAGTGTTTTAACAGACAACGGAAAACGCAACACCGTCATCCGAAGTGCATTGTAATATTGGAAGATGCCTTCCAAAATAAGAAAATTTATTTAGAAATAAAGACAAGATTACTAGACTGTTATGTAATATTAGTTCTCCTCTATGGCAGTGGATGCTGGACAGAGTCATCACAGATAAAGAACAGACTTGATACAACAGAAATATTGAAATCAGAAATATATAAAATCAGAAACTGATAGTTGATATTTCTAGGAAACATAATGAGAAAAGAAGGCTTGGAAAATTTGATACTCATGGGACATATTGAATCCAAAAGTAACAGGAAAGCAGCGCATAACTCCTGCTTAACGAGCATGTGTAAAAGAGTGGCAGATCGCCCCTCCACTGAATGGACACGGCACATAGAAGAAGAAGATATAGAATCCTCTTACAATTGATTCGAGAATGTCTTTAAATTTTTAAAATTGAGAAAAATGCAATAAACATTCAACTGTATGGTGAATTAGAGAAAAGACAAAGTAAACATACGAAAATTCAGGCAACAAATCTTTCTGGAAATTGCGAAAGATATGACCTCAGTATGGTTGTACAGAGGACACCTAAAACGAGAAATTGAATCAATAATAAAGTAACACAAAACAAGAAACATTAAAACTGTCAAAGCAAAAATATCTTCCTCAAGAAAATATTAAAAGTGACGCCTATGTTGAGAGACATAAATGTGAATTATTGTCGCAATTATTCGTGTACAATACGCACCCCTAAATTTAGGCTAATAAAAACGGGCGGGGAATCACCTGTGTATAATAAGCATTTATTATTTTATTCTTTTTTATTATAAATAAGAATTCATGCACATTACAATATGTTTTCAAACAGAATATTTAAAGCAAATGCATGGATATGTTTATGCAAAACTGCAACAAGATGATAGCAAAATTAAACTTACACAAGTTGAAACGAAATAAATAAACATGGTTCCGGAGTTAAGGGTTAACTGTGCTTATTTGGGGGCAAATGCAGTGTTTGGTTAGGGATTTAAGCTCTTTGTTGTAGATTAGTTTCCATATAACTTATTTTTCGGGCATACCATCTCTAATATGGTGTTACAAGTGATGGAGAAAAAAAAGTTAATATTTATTTCTCGCATATAATACGCGGACTTAACTTTTAGGCTTCAAAATCTGGTGAAAAATAGCGTATTATATACGAATAATTAAAGTAAGCCAAACACATTATCTGGGAACAGCGACTGCAAATGCTTTGTGTTCAACAATACAGTTTTTCTCCAGTCGTACTTCTGTGATTATTGGTACTACGATCACGTTCATATTTTACAATTTTCGGGCAAACTTAGATCTTCGTGCATGCAAAAAAAAAAAAAACGGAGTGTCAAAAGAACGGATTTTCCCTTGACACCGCTATTATCTTAACTTTGTTTATTGTTTTTAAGAGCGATGATTAGAACTATAAACATATGGAAAACCTATGGAAGTGAATTTATACATTTTCTCTGTTCTTAAAAATTAACAACAAAAATAATAGATACAATTTTATTTATTATATGATTTATAGAATAGTTGGCGAAACATCAGTTTATTGGCAATCGATTCGAACTTTATAAAATGGTAAATAATAAAGATTTCCTTATAATTGGTTCACATATTTTAATAATTTAGTAAATGTTTATAAATAAAAAATTTTCATATTTATTTCTTGGTAAAGGATAAATATTGCATGAGTTTAATTGTATTAGTTTTTAGAATGTTGTAAATATAAACTTATTTTTGTAAATAAACAATCAAATAAATAGTGTTTAATATTTTTGTTGCTAGTTCTCAAGAACAAAAAATTTATAAATTCACTTTCATCATATTTTTCGATTTTATTCCAATTGTAATCATCGCTTTTTAAAACAATAAACATTGGCGAGAATGGAAGGTAGTTAAAATAATAATGTGTTAAAATAATAATAGTGCTAAGTTTTTATTCTTTTTCTTTTTGTGTGTGTGTGTGTGTGTGTGTGTGTGTGTGTGTGTGTGTGTGTGTGTGTGTGTGTGTGTGTGTGTGCACAAAGGTCGGAGTTTGCCAATTTTCGTATCTCACGAATCAGTTCGTAATATTTAATACCGTTGTTGTTTTGTTTGCCTTTCATCCTGCGATCTTCTGGAACATTCCTATCAGTTATTTTTAACATGTCTAAACAACCCTAACCCTGCTCGCCATCTGTTTTCCAAAGAATCTTACATTTCCTATTTAAGCTTCAGTTGTGCATTCATATCATGTGTTTGTATTTTTATTTCTACAGGTTTCTTCTTGAGCACAGACCTGCAATTATAGCAATTGATGCTAAATGCATTTTCAGCAGCAAGTAAAATTTTACTGAGACTCCACCTGCACTACCTTCTACTCATAGCTGGAATTAGGGAGAAATAGATTCATGTCTTTCGCAAAGGCATCAGTACGATGTAAGCACAAACTCTCATCCTTAGGTTCCATGAATCTATACCTCGTGTCGGTATACATTTATGCTATCTACACTTGTATGTTTTTATGATTACATCTGATTTGTTTAGTAAAACACTTACTCTGTGTAATCATGTATAATATTTTTTCTTAATTTCCAACATTTACTATAAATGCATTATTTTTTTTCAATTTATTTATTTACTTATATCTCCAGCCCACTAAAAACATGCCTGGTTATTGTACTTAGAAATCACGTGACAGTCTTTCTTAAACCCTCCAATAAGATATCCTTAAATATTCTTAACTACATCCGTACTTTTGTGGTCTGGATAATTTCAATTCTCCAATTTTTCCATTCTCTTCGCAAGGAATTTTTGGGTGTTGCTTTATAGTTAATACTCTTTCTAAATGAACGTAATTCCTGATACTTTTACATCCTGGCCTCTGATAAACTTTTCCTTTTATCCTGTCTAGGAAGATTCCCATAAAAGAGGTCACCTTCTGGGTGTATAGATGCTGATTCGCGTGTAAGCCTGATCATTGTCTACCTATTTGATTTTAAGCCAAACCGGGACTCTATCAACTTTTTCAATCCTGTTCAAACTTGATATATGTCTATATTTTTTCTCTTTTGAACCTGTGTCTACCTTTTTGTCACTAATGTAACCCTAACCAGTGTTTACCTTTTTTAGCCTAGTATAAATCGGACCAGTGTTTACCTTTTTTAGTTTAGTACAAATCGGACCAGTGTTTACCTTTCTTAGTCTAGTACAAATCTCACTAGTGTTTACCTTTTTAGTCTAGTATAAATCGGACCATGTTTACCTTTTTTAGTCTAGTACAAATCGGACCAGTGTCTACCTTTTTGACTCACGTGAAAATCGAAACCATGTCAACCGTTTTGTCTCTGGTTCAAACCGGACTCGTGTCTAGTCTCTGAATTTACTGAGATGGTTGGTCGATAAAATTTATATTCGACATTAAATAACTCAGTAAGGGTTATCTCACTAGATTAGTTACGACTGAATAGTGAGTTCGATCCTTATTGAGAGCTCTATACTTTCGGCCTTGGGTCACATCTGAGATACGCTTAGAAAATCAACATCCCTATAAATGCAGCGCTTCCTATTTTCCTATGATTCTATAAATTTATATTTTGAGTCAGAATTTAATAAGATATTCGATTGTTTCAAAAGTAATACTTTTTGCAACCTCAAGGAATATCTCAAGTGTATTTGCATGTTCTTTGAAGCTTTTTTTAATCATTTTATTTTTAATCAATTCACCCCAAGCAAGGCGATAATGCGTCTTAACGCAAGAAGTGAAAGAGAATGAAAAGACTTTAGAAGGAACCGGAAACCCAATCCTAAACAGGGAACAAGGGATAAACCTCTACTCCTGTTCAAAAGTTCAAGGAGGAATGGGAACTGTTCTACATATGTTATCTTACAATGATGTTTGATCTTAAAGTTCTGCTGGTGATTAGTATCTCTTCTGACTTGCATTTCAAAATATCACAATCAACAACTGATGGTCACCAATTTGTAGTATCTTTTTTTAACAAACACCCCATCACTGCCATTAAAATGATTCGACCAATTTTAAGCAATACGGCCAGTTATTGTTTCAATTGTTTCCACTTCTACAAACATCTTCTGCAACTTAAAGGCTGAATTTAAAATAATGCCTCAGAATTGCAAGAATTTTTATATTGTAACATCCAAAACGCAAGATTCAGCTCTCAAATCTTAATAAAACAGAAAGCATTTATAAGTAATTCTTTAGTATTTATTTTTTTATTCTTGTAGTTACAGTTTGTCTTTGTTGTTTATGATGAAAAACTCGCCATCATCAGCAACAACAACAACAGCCTTCTTGTCGTCATTTATCCCTTTTTTCTAAATATTTTCTTTCTTTTTATCATCATCATCATCATCATTGTCATCATCATCGTCGTCATAATAATCATCATCATCATCGCCGTCATTATCATCATCTCGGTGATAAAATGTAAACACGTACTTTAAAAATCAATAATAATATTGATATTCATTCTGTAATTAATAACAGAAGATCTGTACAGCCGTGACGATTTATATTTGCTCGGTTCAACGCACTCAATCCTCTTTGGGGATTAAAGAAGCTCTACTACTTTGACAAAACCTCTGTTTAATGACGACTGTCTCGTCGTAGGGCTATGGCCGACGAGGTGAGTCTGGTTGAGCATTACTAATAAGTCGGGATTTCGATCCTCACTAGCGGCTCTATACTTTTAACCTTGGACACAACTAAAATGGGCGGCTCGGTTAAGCATTACTTCTGAGTTGTGAGTTCAATGGGTGCCCATTGTGCCAAACTAAGCTATGCTATTAAATGACAACTCATGTGATGATGATGATGATGATGATGATGATGATCTTACACAGATTTCTTTTTTTGTGTTCGGCGAGGTTGATTTTTAATGTTTTTTCTCTTGAGAGTAGCAGCAGGAACAGCTATAAGCAGATTTAATAGCTGTGTGTCGATTTGCGTAAAGGTATACGTGTATGTGTGTGTGTGTCTGTCTGTCTGTGTGTGCTCTCTGTATGTGCGTGTGTGTGTATATTGTGTTTTCTTTTTTACCCCCAGCATAATTGAAATTAACATCTGATGCAAATTCATGAATTTTTCAACATATTCTCTACCCGTTGATTTATTTGATTATTTTTGTCAGGGGATTAAGCTGAACGTTTTTGTTTTTTGTTGTTTTTTTTTGTTTTTTGCTTTTTCTCTCTCTCTCTCCCTTCTCTCTCCCTTTCTCTCTCTCTCTCTCTCTCCCTTTCTCTCTCTCTCTCTCTCTCTCTCTCTCTCGCGCTTTTTCTTTCGTTCTTTCTTTGTCTCTCTCTCTCTCTCGTTTTTTTCAAGGTCTGTGCTCGAATTCAAACCAAGATTTCAAATGCTGATTTCTAATGCAAACAGGGCTTCGCTATTTTGAAGACTAACGCAACACAATTTTCCAATGCCCATTTATACTTTTAATATATTTATTTGTTCGCTCCTATTTGTTTTCCCGTCTTTCTGCATCTCTCCATCCCTTCTCTCTATATCCACTACATCTTCGTTTTGTAAAATCTACTATCGGCTTATAAAAGTGTTGACAAAAAAAATGGATCGGTTAGGCGTTCGAATTCCGGTCACGTGAGTCTACTTTTATTTTCGTACTTTCGTAGTAAACATCTGTCCAATCAGGTGTCACTCATTTTGAACGTGGCCTTGTCACTGTTATTTACTTAGGCAGGAGGAGGAGCAGGAGGAGGAGGAGGAGGAGTGGACTTTACTATTAATTGTCAGCATGACTGATGATTTACAGCCGACAACTTTGGCACAGGGTCCTATTCAAAAGGGTCTGGGTAAAAAAGCTCATTCTCAATTATTCGTCACGCCAGCCATTCACACAACTACACCGCCGCAAGTGTTCTCGGGCAAAGGAATTTACACAGGAAAAGCATTTTCGAAACGTTTGATTTTAAATGACGAACAACTTAAAAAATAAAATGTTTTTAAAATTTTCGACACTTGAACTTATTTATATTATAGATCAATGAGTTCATTGGGCACACACACACACATACACACACACACACGAATCAATCGGTTGCCTCAAACAAAATTAACTATCCAAATTCCGAAAATGCCTTGTGTTAATTTTCCATACGTAAAAATGACTTCTATATTTATTCAAATCCTTTAAGGGTTCTTTAAGATCCTTTTTAAAGATCCTTCTGTTGCTTAAAATTAACAAATTATAAAAATGTTTTCCATTGCAATTCTAACCCGGGTGTCAGCAGGTAACCTTTGCGCGATGAAGTAGTCTTATTGGCAGCAGTTTCTCAGTGCACGCGCACTAAGACAAGGACAACCGCCCACACACCGTTCGTCCTCCCGGTATGTTTGCACTGTAAATCATAGTAACACGCCGTTGGCTCAGAAGATCAGAGACAACTCTGTATTGCACTAGACCTCTACTTTTTGCTTGCCATTTTCTCTTTCTCCATTGTAAAGATATAATTTTCGTATCTGGCTCGTTTACTGGCAGCCACATTTCTTTCTATCTATTTGCACTCTGCTGTCTCTGCTCTGACACAAAAAATGCCAACCGCCTGCATTGAAACAACTTGTAGGTCAGGTGCTTCTGTCAAACTAATTGCTAGTGGCAAGCAGGGCGGTCTACTCGTGGCGTGATGGCCAGCAAGATAAACGTGTAAATCATTAGTAATGAGTTCAGACTTCACTGAGTGCTCTATACTCGTGGCCCTGTGTCATACTAAATCTACTCTTAGTAAATGAGTACGAGTGAAAGGCAAGGACGAAATAAAAAGAAAAATCCTTTTAAAAAGGCAGTGAAAAGAAAAAAATAATAAAAATTAAGAATGTAATTTTTTTGTAGGTTTTAAAAATTATATCTACCATAATTGGAATAAAAGAAAGATTTTTATTTTAGAGTTAATTTAAAAAAAAAATACAAAGTTTCATTTTTTTTTTAAAGATTTCTTTGTAGTATGATTTAATTACTTTCTGAAGACTACGAAACAATTGCTTTGAAAAGAAAAGCATTTTTCTTTTCGTAATTTATTAAGTTTAGCACAAGGTCACAAGTGTGGGGGAATCCAGTGTGAGCTGAAGTCACTTGTATTGATTAATCATAAACCGACCAGAGGTGCATTTTTCTTTTTGTTCCATCTGGAATCATCATTTAAAAATCGTTATCGGCTCAAAAAGTAATTTTCAATGAAAATAAACTTGAAGTATCGACCCACCCATCGAAAAAAATCGTTGTTCTTAATATAAAAAAGGCTTGTAAAATTTAATTAAATTTTTATTGCACACACACACACACGCACGCACACGCACACACACACACACACACACTCTCTCTCTCTCTCTCTCACACACACACACACACGTGCGCGCACGCGCGCACACATACAAAGTGGCGTTTGTCTGTATATTCAAAGTTTTTAAGAAAACAATACAACTGATATGGGTTCACGCACATACACATACGCATACGCGCACACACGCAAAACAGATATGTGTTGGGTTTTTAACTCAGGCACATATCCAGCTGATTGTGTGTACACACACATACATACACACATGCACTCTAACACGTACATACACATAAATACACACACACTCATGAAAGCACACAAACGCATACAGACAGACACACAAAACAGATAAACTTCAAGTGGTATTTGTACTTTGAACATAAGCTAATAACTAATATTATCCAATTGATTGTGTGTACACACACGCACACTTTAACATGCACACACGCACACACATAAACTCACAGAAACACACATAAACGCAACAAGCACATACACGCACTCGCACGCTTGCACACAAACACACACACACACACACTCGCACATATTTCTGCTAATATTCACATTGGCGGAAATTCCCGACGTTGTCTGACAAAAAGAAAAAAGAAAAGAAAGAAAGAATCAAGCCGACATTGAACGATGGCCTAAATGAGTCTTTCTCTTCCCACTAACTCACCTCATAATTAACCAATGAACATTTGGTCTGAGTGACAATGATAAAGTGTTTACAGGGCCGGTACAAGGGTCTCGTGTGTCCCCACCCCCAACACTACTGCATCTCAATTTTCATGAGGTAGTATTCATATAAAATACAAATTTGATTGTAACCTAATTATGTACAAAAAATGGATCATATGCAATATAGGTGAATAATTCAACTAGAAAAATTAAAAATAAATCCAATGTATCTACATTCAAATGTCATTATAGGTTATTTGATCTTAAATAAATCCACAATGTTTTGTGGTAATTTTTAACATCAACTTGGCATTTTTACTTGTTAAAAAGTTGAATAATTTTTTCACATTCAACATTATGGATAAAAAAAAATAATGCATTTTATATCCTGGTTTTTCGAGACTTTAGCAAAACAAATTCACGAATTTGAACCAAAAAAAAATCCAGAATGACGTCAAAATCCACAAAAAATTTTCATCCTTTAATAGTCAGTTGTGTTTAGTTTAATTTGTAGCGTATATAAATGTAAGTAAAAAAAAGGCAAATGTTGATAAGATAGTGAAGTTTACTAAGCACTGCCAGACGCCCCTAACCAGCACCCACACCTCGGTTAGGAGTTCGGAGGTAGTACGCAACGGGCCTGGGTGTTTATGTGAATTTTTTACAGAAAATGTGATGCAGGAGTTTCCTAAATTGTTTTCGATGAGTACAAAATTTAATGGCAACAAAAACTTTTCAAATGACGAATGCGACAAAAGATTAGAAACTTATTTCGTTTCTTTTATTGTCATTTTATTTTTTTGTTACTATTTTTGTTTTTATTGTATCACTGTTTGATATGAGAAGAATAAATGACAGAATTTCTTTGAATTAAACGAATAACTTTTTCTGTTCTAAAATGAAACTGAATAATAGCTAAATTATTTATTTTCAAATTATTTTTCTAAAATATTTTTTTTATTAACCAAATTATATTTGACTATTTTAACCAGTCGAAAACTGACAGTTACTCTATGTGAATTTTCTGATGACTCTTAATTCTTCAGTTAATGATTAAATAAGCTTATGGTGAGTTCTATGAGAACAAAGTATCTTTAGAAATTCCTTCAACATATCGTTAAATATTTGAGCTTTAACAAAATATTGCAATAACAATCATAAATATGAATGCTGGTCATTATTTTAAGAAGTAAGGGGGGTACAAATGAAAAGATTTGAAATTGACTTTTTCCATTCTACTGAAATAGTCGTTACTTCTGTCTTCCCTTCTTTCTTTCTTTCCTTCTTTCTTTCTTTTTCTCACTGAAACCAAGTAGTGTCTTTTCCCCTCTTTTCACGGGATCAAAACGAAATAATTCATTATTTCTGAGGTATTAGCAGGACATAACGTTCGTGCGAATTAACTAAGGCGGGGTACAAGCACAATTAATTTAATGTACGGCTTCTTGTCTAATGAGTGACAATCCCAACATAAAGGCCGTAATTTCAATTGTTAAATAGAACAGGAATAAACGAGGCAAACAGGTATTTAAAATTCATTTAATGAATTTACAGATGCATGAAAAGGAAACAAAGTAAATCTTACTTTTTTTTTATATTAAAAAGAAAGTAAGATTTACTTTGTTTCCTTAAATATTTATTTATGATCACCCAGTACAAAGCCCAACAGACAGACACACAAAACAGATAAATATATTTTATATTTTTTTATATTAAAAAAAAAGTAAGATTTACTTTTTTTCCTTATATATTTATTAATGATCAACCAGTACAAAGCCCAATAATCACTCAAAGTTTTTTTAAAATTAGTTCACCCCAAGCAAGGTAATAAAGTCACTAAGACGCAAGGGGTTACTGAGTGTGAAAGAATATGAGAAAAAGAAAGAAAATTAATAAGGAGAGAGAATAAATACAGGAATTAAAAAGACAGAAGATAACGATTGCCATTGCGTTAAAAATCTTTGAAAATTAAAGTTGACTAGGAAGCAAGAAGACAGAAGAGAGTTCCACAAACAAGAAGTGCGAGAGAAGAAACTGTTAGCATAGAACTTACAGTTACAATATCAGTAATTAAAAATAATTCTAAATAATATTTACACTTGGAATTTTATATTTATTTTAATTTATTTTGTATTTTAAAAAGTTGTTCAATAAACCGTAGAAAAGATTATTAAATAAAGCGTAAAAAATTAAATTTTTCCATTCAATTATTTTTTTGGCTGTTGTTAGGCATAAAAATGGTGTCGGAAAAGTCCCAGATGAAAATTAGCAGTTAATAGACCTGAAGCTATTAATTGTGAACAGATATTTTTTGTCAGTTTATGTTAAATTAAAAAAAAAAAAATACTAGGAACTCCTTGGCGTGATTGAACTGGAAATTATATAAATTTCCTTGTTATAGTATTTTAACAATATTGAGCTAAGAAAAGTTGCGCTGCGATGTGCCATTTTGCTCCTTTACAGTAACAGAAAAATAAATGATTACACATCATATATAGATATGCATAGACTAAAAATATATAAATCTATTTGGAAACAGCCGACTGAGATAAATATCTTTCGTTTAGAGAGAGAGAGAGAGAGAGAGAGAGAGAGAGAGAGAGAGAAATTGGATAAGCCAAGCAGCTGACTTTGAAGCATACGGGTCAGACCACAAAGTTCTATCAACTTAAAAATACTTCCAGAGAACGTGTGATTTACGTAACAACAAAAACAAACACGAACTAAGAACATGCGCACTGAATAAAGTAGACACACTGACATATTTTTCTTTTCTCCTACTACACCAACGACGTGTGCACAGGCCTTATTAAAACGATATGGTTTCTCGGGTCAAGTTGCTATCTCGAAGCAGCTGAACCAGTTTTTGATGGAATAATAACAATAAAATTGTATTAGAAATTTGATACTTGAAAGTTGTAAAATTCTAAGGGACATATTGCGATTTAAGCTTAGATAAGCATAAACCATTTGTTTTATAAATCCTAAACACTCACAATATATATATATATATATATATATATATATATATATATATATATATATATATATATATATATATATATTAAACATTATTTTTAGTGGATACTCGTATTTGAGTAGATGCTCTGTTTATTTATCAAAACACTATATTTATTTACTTTCGTTTATCGGACTGAATATTCGAGAAATAATATTAGAGAAAAATATGTGCTCTCCGGTAGATTCGAAACCTGCCTTCAGGCCGGTAGGGAAAAATAAATAAATATACGTATTGTTAATAAACGGAGCGTCTACTCAAATACGAGTATCCACTAAAAATAACGTTTAAGTAATATATATATATATATATATATATATATATATATATATATATATATATATATATATATATATATGACGTATATGTTGACAGCAACCTATCTTTTATACATGTTACATTGAATGTGACAGGTAAGGAAAATCTTATAATTTTTTAAGTTTTGCTAATGCAGTTTTCCCTTTAGAAGGACAGTTTTCTTTTTGGAAGGACATTATGTATGCGTGTAGAAACAATCTTTACCAACACATATGAAAAAATAAATGAAGACAAAATAATTTCTGAAACCCCAAAATTTAAT